AAAAAAAAAAAAAAAAAAAAAAAAACCTGGAAATCATTAAAGTTCTCCTCCTTTCTTTCACCCTTAACATCCATTCCATCAGCAATATATGTCCATTCTACCACCCAAACAAATGCCAAATCTATTCACATTTGTCTACTTCCCCTACCCTCACCCATATCCAGTAATATCATCACTCAGCTGCCTTCAAGAGCCTACTTTATGGGTCTCTCAGCTTCTGTGTCTGCCTCCTTCAAGGCCATTCTCCACACAGTGGCCAGATGGATTTTTCAAAATAGTAAATCAGATCAGTTCACCTCTCTGCTTAAAACTGCATGATGGCTGCCCATTACACTTAGAATAAAATCAAGACTCCTTCCCCAATTCTTCAAGGGGCTACATGGCCTGGCCTCTCTCACCTGACTTCAGGCCCACTGGCCTTGGTGTCCCTCAAACACGCTGAGCCAGGTCCCACCTCAGAGCCTTTACACTTGCTCTTCCCTCTGCCTGGAATGTTCTTCTCCTCACATCCTCCATTGCCCCAGGGCTGCCTCCTGTTTTTATTGGGGTCTCAGATTATACTAACACCTCCCCAGAGAGGCCTTCCCTCACTCCCCATACCATCACCTCCGGAACACTTTGTTTCCTCATTATTGTTTTATTTCACCCATAAAAGTTTCAGGACATTTCACTGAAATTATCTGAATAATTTGTTTTGTCTGTTTCTCCCCCATTACTAAAATAAACACTCCATGAAGGCAGGGATGTAATCTGCTGGGCTTACTGCTGCACCCCTGGTGCCTAGGAATGTGTCTGGTACTTGAGAAATGTCTGGGGAGTTTGGTGAATGAACTGCATATGTCAGGCAGGATCTCACTTCAGTCTCGCACCAAATTTTATTTTTTTTTTGAGACAGAGTCTCTCTATGTCACCCTTGGTAGAGCACTGTGATGTCATAGCTCACAGCAACCTCAAACTCTTGGGTTTAAGCAATTCTCTTGCCTCAGCCTCCTAAGTAACTGGGACTACAGGCACCTGCCACAGCGCCAGCTATTTTTTGTTGCAGTTGTCATTGCTGGTTAGCTGACCTGGGCCGGATTCAAACCCGCCAACTTCAGTGTATGTGGCTGGCGCTGTAACCATTGTGCTATGGGCACCAAGCCCTCACACCAAATTTGTGACATCATTATTCTCATCTTAAACACCTGGGTTGATCCCAGCTCAACCACTTGCCATTTGTGTGACTTTGGGCAAGTGGCCTCACTTCTCTGAGCATCAGTTGCCCAATCTATAAAATAGAGATGATACCAGTGTCTGCCTCATTGGGATTAGCCCAGGTCCTGCAGCACAGAGAGCCTCTCTGCAAGGCTGTTGTTATTATACCTCTGGAAATATGCCTGTGCACATGAAAACTGGCATGCATGTTCTGGCGCTTTTAGTAACATCCCAAAGCCTATCCTTGGATTCTGACCCTCAGAGCTAGTCCAATGCTAGCCCCCCATTTTACAGATGTGGACAATGAGGCTCAGAGGGTCTCAGGCAAGTCAGTGGCAAAATTTATCATCTCTGGGAGCTATCAGGTCCTTTGGACCTGCCACCCCCAAATCTATCCCTTGCTTTCTGCTTGAGGGTGCACATGGGGTGAGGGTGGGGGCTTTTGTCTTATTCCCTCCCCCTCCTGAGGAGTCAGTAACCAACAGTGTCTGTGCTTGGAATATTAATATCCTAGGAGCTTTTGTTTCAGGGGTTTGGGGGGTGGTAGGGGCGGGACTTTCTGGTCAGAGAGGGGCTGAGCTTTTGGGACTGGGGCACTGGCCCTTTAAACTGTGTTGACAGCCAGAGGTCGTCATGGGGATAGTGCCTGGAAAAAGGGACAGAGGAGGGTTTAGGAAAGAGTGACTGAGCAGGTGATGTATACAGACCCCAGAATCCAGCTCCTAACCACCTCCTCTCCCAAGACCCAGAAGGCTGGGTTGTCAGCCTCTCTTTCATCAGGGGTCTAGGACCCCAGGCTCTTCCTCCCTTAGACTCAGGAATCCAGCTCCCAACTACCTCCTCTCTCAGGCTTCAGAAGTTCAGACCCCCAGCACCCTGTCCAGTCAATACCCAGCAGTCCCAGCCCTCAGAGTCCTCTTCTTTCAAACCCAAGAGTCTGAGCTCCCAGCTCTCTTCCCCCCTGAAACCCAGAAGTCTGGGCCTTCAAACCCCTCCTCCTTCAGGACCTAGGAGCTGGGGGTCCAGAGTACACAGCTGGTGGATGTTTCCACGGAGACTAAGCAGGATGGGGGGAGCACTTCCTGGGTCCTGAGTCAGCGGATACCCAAGGGAGTCTCAAGGTCATGTTTCTGGGAAGGTCACAGCCACCCCCTCTGTATCCACTCCCCAGGGGGCTCCTTGCATCATGCCTCCTTCCCTTTTCCTCCCCTAAGGATGTGGTACATCCCTGATCCTAACCAAACCCCCCCTTAGCCCCCCATCAATGGCGGAGTCCGAACATCCTCGCACAAAGCGTCAATTCTTCCCCTGCTCAGGCTTCTGAAGGCGCCTGTATTCCGAGGACCTAGGCATTAGGGTCCCAGCCCCTCCTCCCTCAGAAACCTGCAATGGAACCCCCCCCCCCTCATCCCCTAAGGGAACCCAGAAAACCCAACCCCCCCCCCCAGCCCCTTCCTGTCTCAGAACCCAGGAGTCTGTACGCTCACCCCTCCCTCCCTTGAGACCTAGGAGTGCAGCCTTCTCAGCCCCTGTATCTTTCAGGAGGCAGGAGTTCAAGGCTCTGGCACCTTCCTCCATCTGATCCGGGAATCTAAGCCCAGCTCCCCCCTCCTCAGACCTGAGGGTCGAGGCCCCCATCCCCTCTTCCCTCAGACCCAGAGGTCCAGCCCCAGTCCCTCCTCCCTCAGACCCAGGGGTCCAGCCT